TATCCTGAAAATATTAACTTGTTTTTCTCCTAGCTCCTGGTGAAGACAATTTTATCATTGTCAGCATTCTCTCAAGAAGTTTATGAAAGAAAAAGAGAATGATTTCCTCATGCGAGCCTGAAATGCCATGAGAAAGAACATTGCATTCTCATTCTGTCTAGTGCAGTTGTCCTAAAGTGGACTTTTTCGTTCCATGTTATTTACTCATCAAATGTTGCATCACTTTGTAAAAGGAAAACAATTTTTGAAAATTATAGTGAAAAACCATACTGGAATACATTTTTTTTTTGTTTTACACACACACACACACACACACACTCTCTCTCTCTCTCTCTCACACACACACACACACACACACAAAAAAAAAGTGTCAATTAGATAGTAGCCAACCTTGAAAAAATAGTTATACAGTTTATCTATCCACCAATAGATTCTTGATTTTAGCTTTTTGGGCAGATAAAAAGTGAGGGGGAAACTTAATCCATGTATGAAAGAGTAGTCCCCAAAGCAAAACTCTCAGGTATTAGTGGAATGATAAAATCTCAATAAGTTTAAATAAAGAGAGCAAACCTAAACATATATATATATAGACAAATGTCAGCTATGCCAACTATATAGACAAGCTGATGTGAACTGATGTTAACTGGAAAAGAAATAAAATGTACACACTTAGTTGCCTCTATGTACAAGTGATTTTATTACTTTGTATAAAAAGAGCATGCGTATTCCAGGAAATTCAGAAAATACAGGAAGAGCTCATTCATGATCTCACTTTCCTCACACAGCTATTTTCTATTTAGGTGCATTCATTTCTTATTTTGTCCTTATGCATATGTATTTCTACAGTTGTACTCATAGCATGTACATTTTGTGTTCTGATTTAGAGTTAATACCCCAACATAGATGGGCATTTTTGTGTGCTGCTACAGTCCTCAGAGCTGTCATTTATAGAGGCTTTTAATAGTTCAGGGATTGGACATAGCATTTGTGTACAACTTAGGAAAAATCATTAAAAAGGAAAGAACATAGACACAGATATTCAGTATACAGATATTTGTCTGTAAAGAATTTCAGTGGAAGTTCAAAATAAAGAATCAACTAAAAACTGCAAAGAAGTGAAAATTAGTTTAAATGTTCAAGAAACATGGCATTTCTTGGATTTATGGTTCTGCCTCTTATTTTTGTTTTGCCAGTCTCCCTCACTCCATTTAACTCTTTAGTGTTGTCTGCATAGCATAAGGGAAAATTGACTTGGAAGGATGAAGACACTGGGTCTGTTTTCCTTTTGATGCTCCCATAAAAGAAATATGTGTACTTTCAGTGATGATGATGATATCTATTTACTAATTTTCTAATCATGTCACTATTTGATCTAGTAACTGGTAGATGTAATAACTTAGTTAAGCATTTTTTGTACCTACTGTATGCTCCTGTATAGCTACTGTAGTGAACAGTCTTTTACTTTTTAGTTTGGAAAATTATTGAAAGAAATAAATGAAGATGAAAAATGTATTTGCTGGTATTATAAGGAAGAAAATTAGTATTTGTTAGTATGTGAATATTTAATAGGTATCAGATGCTTTTACATGTATTTTGCTATTTAACCCTCATTAAAGCCCTATTTAAAAGGAAATATTCACTGCAATGTATACAGCAGGAGAGATTCAGAAAGCTAAGTTGCATGTCAAAATCGTTGAGCTAGTAATTATCAGAGTAGAGTTTCCAAGCTAGATATGTCTGACCTCATGCCAAGGGCACTGTTCCATGGGCTTCAAAATGTAATGTGGTATTCATACTTGCAACAGTTTTAATGGCCTCAAAGAGTAGTATTATAACTGTTGGTGGAGTAGGATGGCAAAACAACCCTGGAATTACTGAGAGAGGGGTGTCCTGTCAGAGGAATGTGGGTTTCTTTTTTATTTTTAAAAATCTTTCTGAGCCATGTTGTGTTACTATTTACAGCTGCATCATGACTTAAAGGGCCTCTTATAAGCCTCCTTCTCAGATGAATTCTCTTTCAGAACATTTTTCACACCCAGCCTCAGAACACATGTAAATGCCTCTATATAAAGTCTTTGGATAGGGAATGGTGATAGAGCTTCTTTTGCAGTTTATGCAGTTCTACTTGATGTAACTATTATTCTCCAACAGTATCATGACATAAAAATCATAATCATAGGATATTGAAATTTTAAATTCTTTATCCCTTATGTGAGGCTCATGGAGGCAGTCTATAACAACAACAGTAGTAATAGCTAACATTTATTTGAATGCTTACTATGGACAGGACCTATGCTGTGTGATATAATATGGGTTACCTCATTTCATTTTCTTTTTTTCTTTTTTTTTTTTTTTGAGACGGAGTCTTACTCTGTCGCCCAGGCTGGAGTGCAGTGGCCGGATCTCAGCTCACTGCAAGCTCCGCCTCCCGGGTTTACACCATTCTCCTGCCTCAGCCTCCTGAGTAGCTGGGACTACAGGCGCCCACCACCTCGCCCAGCTAGTTTTTTGTATTTTTTAGTAGAGACGGGGTTTCACTGTGTTCGCCAGGATGGTCTCGATCTCCTGACCTCGTGATCCTCCCGTCTCGGCCTCCCAAAGTGCTGGGATTACAGGCTTGAGCCACCGCGCCCGGCCTACCTCATTTCATTTTCTCAACAACTCTGTGTGGTAGGAATTGGGATTTGAAAGGACCAATACTAAACATTCATATTTTCCCTAAGTTGTAAGCCAATTTAGAGGTAGAAACAGTTATTAAACGGATGAAGATCAAAATGCCACCCTAAAGGCTAATAATACCGATAATTAAGGAATGAAGCTTAGGACAACTAGCCAAGTAGGGGTGCAATACTTTGCTCATGAAAAAGAGCCAAGTTGTGGTCACTGGCAGCTCTTAAACAACCACAGGCCTCCTTGCAAGGGCATCGTCCCCTATTTTATTTATAGCACAGAATTGCAGAGGAAGATGAGCCTGTCTACAAATAGGCAGATCCCACATGAAAAAAAAAAAAAAAAGAGAAAGAGTGTGAGGTGAGTGTATGTAGCGATTTCTCCCAAGGAAACAGATAAGCAACCCCTCTTATGGAGAAAAGTGAGGAGAAGGAGAAGAGCCAGGAGTGTTAACTCCACTGGAGTCCCCACCCCACAGAATCACGGAAAAGGAGGTCTTTGTCCCCAGCTGTAGGTACTAAACATGGGCCTATCCTGCAGATAAGGAATGGGGCACTGACAGCTCACTATTAGTAAGTGGCAGAGAAGTGTAAATAAAGTCAGTCCATAAGTAAGAGGTAGAGTCAGGGCTGAACAAGCCAGGCTAGGATGGGCTCAGTTTAGGAACAAGGCAATGGAAAATAAAGATGGGAGGGCAGATGTGAGAGGAATTACAAAAAATAAGTGATAAGAGTTGGATTCACTTGTAATGAGAGTTGGGGTGAAGTCAAAATGACTCAAAACTTTTAGCATTTCTAGTTGGAAACGATGAGAGCATTAAGAAAACAATGTTTCCGGGAGTGATTAGCCAGTGCTTTTTTGGACATGAGAGTTTCACTCTCATGCAGATTACTGGAAATTTGAGTCTGTAACTTGGGAGAAAGATCGGAAGCAGAGATGCAGGTTTTATAGTTGTCCATTTAAAGGTGATAGGTGGCTGAAACTAAGGGAGTGCTTAAGTCTGAGCAGTGAAAGAGGAGGTTGGTTTCACAGATGAGTTTCCTCTTTGAAATATGCTCAAAGATTTGAGTTGGTAGACATCAGCAACTGATCTAGTTTAAAGACAAAGCCCAGCGTGAGCTCAGGACTTGACCTCACCTTTTTACATAGCCCTAGAATGCTGCAGGGTGAGCTTCAGGGTCACACTGGTATGCAACACAGTTTGTTTGCCCCCTGCAGGTTCACTGTTCATCCCACTTCCACCCTGTTCTCTGACCTGGGAGGCTGAAAACATTTATGGGCTGCTTCAGTTGGACTCCCATTGGGTTGAATCACCTCTGAGACTTGGAATGCAGGAGGAGGTGTGGCTGATGTGTTTATCTCCTTGGCTCTTTGACTGTCAGATCCTGTGGACTGACTGCTTCCCTTTAACAGGGACTTTCTACATCAACTCTCCACAATTCCAGTAACTGCTCTTCCCCTCTGCCCCCTTAAGTCTAGAGGCGGTAATAGTTTCCCACTGTTACTAGGCCCAAGGGACTCCACTTCCTTTATTAAGTTCTACCTGATGTAACTGTTATTCTCCAACACTATCATGATATAGTGTTGTCAGATTTTATTAACACTGCTCATACCTTTATAAACAATGTCTTTGTTGAAATCTTCCCTTCCCAGTTCCTTAAATAATATACCCAGTAAACCAGAAAGAACTCATGTTCTCCAAGTCCTACTCTTAATAAACAGAGGGACTTCATCGGGGGTTGGGGGAGCTGCGTGGGAGCTGATCTCAGAACTGGAAGGGAACAATAGACTTAGTACAAGGATTGTACATCCATATGTACATGTAATATTGGTGGACAGAATATCTTACACAGTTACAAGATTCTTCGAATGTGTAAGTGCCTTAGTGATTTGTAAGAAAATTTATTTGAAAATGTCATCAAATTTATTTTGCCTATTGTCTTTATACAGATTCTTAATGAACAAATGGCTTATGGCTTATATTAAGAATATAACTATTGCTTTGTTTGGCTGAGGACATCTTTTTTTTTCACGGAGTTTTGCTCTTGTTGCCCAGGCTGGAGTGCAATGGCACAATCTCGGCTCACAGCAACCTCCGCCTCCTGGGTTCAGGTGATTCCCCTGCCTCAGCCTCCCAAGTAGCTGGGGATTACAGGCATGCACCACCACACCCGGCTAATTTTGTATTTTTAGTAGAGATGGGGTTCCTCCATCTCTGCTGGTCAGGCTGGTCTCAATCTCTTGACCTCAGGTGATCCGCCCGCCTTGGCCTACCAAAGTGTTGGGATTACAGGCGTGAGCCACTGTGCCTGGCCTGGACATCTTTTTAAATGAACAGATTGTACTAACATGCAAAGAATCAGGGAATTACTTCCAAGGACTTTGTTAAAAGTTCATCAAACTTTCTTTGGTTCTAAACTAGAGGGAGGTGGAATGAACTGGTTCAACAATAACTACTTCTATCAGGATAGGAACAAAAACAATCATCCGTATCTTGAAGGAATTTTTGTAAAATCATTTCTAACTCTTTCATTTCACAGCAGAAATTCAAGTCCCCAGTCTTACAAAAAGAGTACACCACATTCTCAACCTTGGCAACACCTTGTCCTTTGTGTGACCTGCTGTGGCTCAAGCCGTGAGCAGAGTCTACAGAACACAAAAATAAACATCTCTACAGGCCTGTGGAATTTGATGGGCGGCGTAATGTGGGGCAGACTGTGGGCCGAGTGCCAGGCCCTGTAGGTGAGCCCTCCTGTGGCCCACTCTGCAAAAGCAGAAAGAAGGGGCAAACCTGCCAGTGAATTTCTGTTTCCAACTTTGGCCTGGTCTGGGGTCAGGGCCTAGGCATGCCCCTGTGTGCCCAGTGAGATAGATTCAGTTAGGATTCTCTGACTCCAGAGCTGGGAAGGCTGGGTATGGCGGATAAAAAGATCAAAGAAAGGGTTTCTTGCTCCCATTCCTCAAGCTCCCTGTACCACTTCCTCATGTAATTTGAGAAATTATCCTGAACTAGAGAACTGGGGGGAAGTTTGTTCACTAACTGCTTATTGAGTCCCTGTTCTCTCCCAGGCATGATCCTAGGCGCTAGAGATACAGTGGGGAGTGGGAGCCTCCACGATCCCTGCTCTTAGGGATCTGACACTCTGAGTGCAGAACTGTGCTGTTCTGCCTGCACTCTTACAAACACCAGTTCTCCATAGTACTCCATGACGTGAGGGGTTAATTTCTAGCTGACTGAAATAATGGACTCATTTCCCCTCCCATTTCAACAGCATGGCGGGTGGCAGTGATTACCGAGTGAGGGAAATATTGTGGTATGGACAGCAGCACTGTTCTCAATAACAGGCTCTCTAATGATGAACAAAAAGACTCTGAAATGCATCTCAAACTCCCAGGTTCTCCTTTGCAGCCAAGATGCCTCTGATATAATCTGACTTAATAACGCCATACTCTGTAAAAGTACAAAATTAGAATAAAAGAGTTCTCCAAGGCACTGAGTTGGACACAAAAATTTATTCATGGAACTACACAAGGATTGAGCACCAACTTTATGCCAGACACTATACCCAACTTTATACCAGAATCCTATTACTGCAGAAAATGTAGTTGGAGGCAAGCTCCTGGTTATGAATTGCACATTCAGCAACTCAGAAGTAAGCATTTTTCTGATGTTGCCTAGAATCAGTGGCTCTGTGGATTAGGAGCTGAAAGGGTGGGAAAGAATTTTGCTTTCTACTGTCTGCCTTGTATGTGAATCACAAGTTGTACAGTTTTCTTCCTTTCTGTAGACCAAATACCATATAAATCACTCTGCTGTTTATTCTAAGTCTTATGTAAAGTGTTCCTGTCCTCAAAGCATCACACACAATGTAGAAGCTTTGGCAGTTTCTTCAGCAAAGGTCAGTGTTTCAGTTTAGTGCCCAAAGGTCTCTGACAAACATCCAAAAATTTCTGGTTGAAGTCAGTAATTATTTACTCCCGTTACCAGGATCTGTTTGAGGACTAAGCAGAGAGAAGCAGAAAGGAAAAATAAGCACATCAAAAAAAGCAGGCTTAGTCTCTCTTCACCTAGAACAATATATATGTATTGTCTCATGGCACATGTGTAATGTCACTGAACAATAAAAATAAATAAATCTATTTCCAGTTGAAGGCATCTCCAGGATCCAGAGGCTCTAAGTGGATGAAAACAATTGGGTGCTTGGGCCAGAGACTGTGCAAGCCTAAGCAGAGAGAGAGGGGTTCCTTTAACTTCCCTCCCACGTTCAGTCCCTTTGGAACTCGAGTTTGCCCCTAGGATAGAAGTCTGTAAGGCTACCAGCTGGAACCCTTTGCTACACTGCTGTAAAGGCTGTGCAGAAAAAAATGTTGGAATTCTCTCATACTTGGAAAATTGCCCTTTAATACACGTGGTCTCCTCTCTGTTTCCCAGCCATAGGCCAGGATGTTAACTGGGGCGGGGTGGAGGCAGACATTTAATTCTTGTTAAGAGGGAGTAATAACATGTGAAGTGATAGGGAGCCAAACTGTCGTTTCCTGAATATCCACAAGAGGCTTACATTTAGCAACAACATTTAGCAAACATATGCCAGGCGCTGTTGAGTTGCTGGGGACACAGCATCCCACATGACAGTTATGGCTTCTACCAAGACACAGCTTAAAGGCCGAGGAGAGACGATGGTTTGCAGTGAACAAGAGCACAAGCTTTGAAGTCAGACCTGAGGTAGAATCCTGGATACAGCATACCTTACTTTGTCCATAAAATGGAGATTATAATACCTACCTCACAGGGTCGAGATGAAGATAACATGGAATAACATATATATAGCACTGAATTCAGGGCCTGGTGGATTCAGTGCCCCTATAGTAATAATCATCGTTACTGTTATTACTTTGTGGCTTATTCTGTGTTCCAAGAGTCAGACCCTTGAGCTCTAAGTGCTGGCTGGTACCTCCATGACATGAATGCCATGCTCTGGTGTGCGCTGTTCAGAGAGAAGCTGGTTGTGTTAAATATTCTTCCTTTTCTGGTTATAATGGTTGATTTTCTTGCTTTGTGAAGGTTAGACCTCTCTGATGAAGATAAACTGCTTTCCATGTTTGTTTCAGCTGAATGGCCATTTAAAAACTAGTGACAGTTATTTATGCTTTTATTTCTTGTGACTTGAGGGGGTTCTCCCTGGTGAAGCAGAACTTATTTCATTCATTTATTAGGCATTGAGTGAGCTCTTATTCTGAACCAGGCAGTGTGTTTGAAAGTGTGGAAGAAAGGAATTTGAAGGTAAAGGGAATAGCATGTAAAAAGATATGAAGCCTGAGTTTTTCAGTGAGTTGTAAGAAATTTATAGTGTAGGTTAGGTGGGTGTGGTAGTGATGGGCTAGGAGTGAGGCTGATATTTGGCTTAGGAGATGGTCATATTTATGGGCCGAATGTGGCTTCTGCTGAGGACTTCAAGGACCAGCCAATCCTCAGGCCAACAGATTATGGCTGAGGACACTTAGTTTCCACGATTAGAAATATTATCTGTGTGTTCCCCTCTTGCTTCTCTACAGAGACAAGAGTGAGTGTGTAGATCAAAGAGCTTCAAATGGGACACATTAAAGGCTACAAATGTACCCTAAAAGAGTACCTCCCCACTGCAGAGACAACAGTACAGTTTATTTAGAAATTTAGAAATCTTCTCTAGTGAGTTGTGGTAGTGTTGAAACTTACTCATAAAGCAATATAGATATGGAAAACATTACAACTTATTTGTTGCTGTAATAAATTTAAACTTCTTCGTAAGCCTCTATTTTAAATGAAGGCAAGAGTGGGGAGTTTATTTTGCTGCTTTTGTCCTCTCTAAAAAACCTTTGCCTATTCCCAAGTTATAAAGATCTTTTCCCTCTGTTTTCCTCTGTAAATTTTATAGTTTTCTTTTACGTTTACATCTTCTATCTATAGGTTTTGTATATAGAGTGACAATAAGACTCAAGATTCATTTTTCCCCATTTGAATAAATGTGTAGGTCTTTATCTGAACTCTCTATTCTGTTCCACTAATATAATGTGCCAATATCACACTGTTTTGATTACTCTGGTTTTAGAACAAGTCTTCAATCTTTGTTCTTTCTTTTAAAAATATTTTGGCTTTTCTAGGTCATTTTCAGTTCCATATAAATTTTAGAATCAGCTTGTCAGTTTCTATTAAAAAAAAGACTGCTGAGGCCAGGTGTAGTGACTTATGCCTGTAATCCCAGCACTGTGGGAGGCTGAGGCAGAAGGATCGCTTGAGCCCAAAAGTTTGAGACCAGCCTGAGAAACATAGTGAAACCTCATCTCTACAAAAAAATACAAAAATTGATTAGGTGTGGTGGTATGTGCCTGTAGTCCCAGCTGTTTGGGAGGCTGAGGTGGGAGAATCACTTGAGCCCAGGAGGTCAAACCTGCAGTGAGCCATGATAGCGCCACTGCACTCTGGCCCAGGTGACAGAGTGAGACCCTGTTTCAAGAAAATAATAAAAAAGAAAGAAATTTAAAAGAAAAAATACCGGCCAGGTATGGTGGCTCACACCTGTAATCCCAGCACTCTGGGAGGCCAAGGCAGGTGGATCCCTTGAGGTCAGGAGTTCGAGACCAGCCTGGCCATCATGGTGAAATTCCATCTCTACTAAAAATATAAAAATTAGCCAGGCATGGTTGTGGGCGCTTGCACTCCCAGCTACTCGAGAGGCTAAGGCAGGAGAATCGCTTGAACCTAAGCAGTGGAAGTTACAGTGAGCTGAGATCGCGCCACTGCACTCCAGCCTGGGCAACAGAGCGATACTCCATCTCAAAAGGAAAAAAAAAAGAAAAAGAAAAAAAAAGAAATAATGCTGCTGGAATTTTGTTTGGGATTTCATTGAAACTATCAACTAACTTGGGTAGATATGACATCTTCCAAGTCTTCCAATCTATGAACAGGATATCTCTCTTTCTTTTTTAGGACTTTGTAAATTTTTCTTAGTGCTGTTTCATAGTTTTAGTGTAAAAATAATGCACATGTTATGTTGAATCTATTTCTTGGCATTTCATTTTTTTGAAGCTACTGTAAAGTGGTATTTAAAACTTTTTAATTTCTAATTACTCACTAATATAGAGAAATGCAATCAACTACAGAAGAAAAAATAATAAATTTCAACTCATCAAAAGTAATGGCTTCTGCTCTTCAAAACACACCACTAATAAATGAATAGGTAAGCCACAGAGTGGGAGAAAATATTTCTAACACGTATATCCACAAATAACTTGTATCTAGAATATATAAAGTATTGCTGTATCCCAATAATAAAAGACAGACCTCCTAGTAAAATATGGGCATAACACTTGAATAGACACTTCACAAAAAAGATATATGAATAGTTAATAATTATTGGGAAACTGGTTAATATAATTAGTCGTTGGGGAAGTACAAATTAAAAGTACAATGAGATACCATTTGATATCACTAGAATGACTAAATTAATCACACTATCAATACCAAGTATTGCCGAAGTTGTGAAGCAATTGGAACTCTAATTTAGTACTGGAAATATCACACGACCACCTTTAAAAACAGTTTGGCACCTTCTTCTAAAGTTAACATATACATTTACCCTATGATTGGGCAATTTCTTTCCTAGGGGTTTACTCAAGAGAATGAAAACATACGTCCACAAAAAGACTTGTACACTCATGTTCATAGAAGTTTTATTCATAATGTAAAACTGGAAACAACTGTAACAATTATCAGCAAACAAATGAATAAACTCATTGTGGTATATCTGTAACACTCGCTAATATTCAACAATAAAAAAATCAACTGCAGATACACACAACAAACTGAATGATTTCAAAACATTATCCTGAGTGAAAGAGGCCAGAAGCAAAGTAATCCATGTTGTTTGGTTCTATTTTTATGAAATTCTTGACAGAATTCTAACTTGACAGAAAGCAATCTACATTGACAACTAATCTGTATTGACAGAAAGCAAATCAGTGGTATTCTGGTGCTAGGGCTGGTGAAGATTGATTGCAAGGGAGCATGGGGAATGTTTGGGGATGATAAAAATGTCCTGTGTCTTGATTGTGGTGGTTGTGATTACATGAGTGATGCATTTGTTGAAACTCTGAAATGTAGGCTTAAAATGGGCATGTTTTATTGTATGTAAGTTATACCTCAATTTAAAATTGTTTAACAGTCTTTCAAATTTAGTATTTTTCATCTAAGATCAGCTTTCTTTGCATATTATTCAACCAAATCTGAGGTTACTGTGATTATTAGGGTTGTTTCTCCCCTCTCTTGTGTTTATTCCTCCTTCTTCATGAGTGTGTCTGGTCTAGGGGAGAGCGCATGTGTCCTTGTGGTAGTGGTGGGGGAGGTGGTTAGCATCCAGGCTCTCTGGTTGTTTTCTAAGTTCTCACTGGCCCATGCAGAGATTTTCCTAGTATTGGTTACTGGGCATCCTCCTGGCCTCCTGAATGTCCATATAAATTGAAACTCATCTTGGTGCTCTCCAGGTGATGGCTTCTGTCCTCCTTGTGTACTTTGCTGCTGGAAACTTATGTTTTGTATTCTCCATATGGCCAGGGCCTGGAGGAATTCCCCACCTTTCTTGTTGTCGTTCTTAAGGGTCACCTATGGTTTCCATTTGGCTCAGCACATTTGCCATGGAATCCCTCTTCCGTTTGCTATGGCCCTGGCTCTCATCTCAGCTATCTTCTATGTCTCCATTGAGAACATGGGAGAATCCCCCCATCACTTCTGTGCCACCTAGGAGGTGAAGGACTGTCAGTGGGCACTCTGCTTCTCTCTGCTTAGACAGAGGGGACTGGTGAAGTTGTGTCTTCCCACAGTTATACACGGCACACATAGCACAGGCCTCCTTATTGGCACTTCTCCCTCAGCTACCTAGGTTAAGGGAAAACTATCTCTTCACCATACCACATACCTGTCTGGGCCAAGACTTAGGGAGTGGGAGACATAGTCCCTAAGAAACCTGGGCAGCTCATCACCTTTCCTTTAAAATCTGTTTCTCTTTCCTCTCAGGGTAGGCTTGTACTTTCCCTTTCTGTGTGGTGGGAATGTCCCCTATAACACAATCCCATGATTCCTTGCCTGTGGATGCATTTATTCTGCATGGGGCTTATGTCTCATTCCCTATAGTAATAGGCTTCTTGACTTAGCCTTAATGACATAAGGGAACATTTAAAGGAACCTGGCTTACCAGAAAGGGGTAATACATCAGAAGAATTTTTTTAAAAAATTACCTGTAGTATAGGAATATTTTAGAAATGCCTAAAAAAAAGGAGACTGGCAAATTTCATGATTCTTAAGCAATAACAAAGAGGAATTGTCTCTACCTTGAGTTATTAAGTAAACAAAAAGCAAAGTTAATTAGAATTTTACTGAGAGTGCTTATCTGTACCAGTTAACTTACATATTAGGGAAGATGTAGTTACTAGTCATCTGGTTTAGAAGACAGGCATCAGTAATTGAATATCCTGATTTTATTAAAGAGGAAATAGCAGCAGAAAGGAAGTGATTCATACAGGGTCACTGGGACTCAGCCCAAATGCCCACCGTTGGTATTTTTCCATCATACTCTATCTCTTTTGTGGCTACAGACCAATTTATAAGGTAAGAATACAGCTAAAGGTGAAAGTGCTAGAAATAGAAAGAGTCAAGGAAGGAAAGAACAAGGGAAAGTCAATGTTGGAGGCCTT